GCCAGTTGTTCTGCACAAACTTTCAGACAGGAGGTGGTCACACCATCTGGGCCTGGAGCTTTTCCAATCTTTTGTTTTTGAAATAGATCTCACACTTCTTTTTCTAGGATCACCAGAGGTAAGGGACCTAGGGAATTGGGAATAGGGGTAGAGACGTTTGATGCTAATGATGTATCTGAAATACAATTGGTAGCAGCAGATAGCAGTTGTTCCTCCTCAAACCTGCAGTAAAACATATTGAGGTCATCTGCCAATTGACGACTCTCTTCAGTCAAGAGAGGTGAGTTGTTATAGCCGATTATGTTCTTCAGGCTTTTCCACACAGTTGCAGGATCATTTGCCGAAAACTGATTTTTCAGCTTTTCTGAGTAATTTCTCTTTGCCGCCTTAATCTCTCTCATAAATACATTTCTAGTCCGATTATACATAATCCTGTCCCCATTCTTATAGGCCTCCTCCTTGTCACGAAGGAACTGTTTGAGCTTTGGTGCGAACCACAGCTTATTGTTATTATACATATATATATTTTTGGGGGGCACACACATGCCCTCCCAAAAGCTAATGTAAGATGTCACAGCATGAGTATACTCATCCAGATCTGCCGAGGCAGCTTCAAAAACATTCCAGTCTGTGCACTCTAAGTAGGCCTGTAGGTTTAACTTAGCATTATCAGACCATATCTTCACTGGTTTAATCATAGGCTTTGCTATTTTAAGTCTCTGCCTGTAGGTGGAAATGAGATGGATCATACAATGATCAGATAATCCAATTGCTGCACGTGGTATAGAGCGGTAGGTTCCCTTTAATGTAGTGTAACAATGATCCAATGTATTCTTGCCTCTAGTAGGACAACTGACATGTTGTATATATCTGGGCAACTTGTAAATAAGATTAGTACTGTTAAAGTCTCCTAAAACAATAAGTAAGGAGTCAGAATATTTCTGTTCTATGCCAACTGGTCTGCTAAAGTCTGTATTGTGCTATTTGAGGAAGCAGGAGGTATATAAACTTACGGTAGGTAGAGTTAGATAGTAGGAACAAGAGAGAAACTTTGGCCTTCTTCATTATGAGATGTTATGTATTAAATTTATACACATATAAATGGGACATTGATAGAGAACCCTTGGCTGTCTAAGAAAGTTTATAAGAACATACCATTTCACTCTTTGAACATTTTTTCTCTTTTGAAAGTATTTCTAAAACAAATTTTCTTTCATCAAATTGAATTTTAAAAATGCAGTTAAAAATAAATGCAGAATTATTTTCTACCCAACATTAATAAAATATATATTAAATAATAAAATATGTACAAATCACAAGTGGGTGAAAATATGAGCTGGTCTCATCACTTTCATTTGATTAGACTCAAGAGCTCTTAGCCTATATTCATAGAGCGCCTCTTTTTCTCCCTGCCATAAATTGCTGTTCTTTCTCTGAGAAATGCTTTGGCTCCCTGGAGGAAATGGGGAGGCAGGGAAAGAATTAAGAGTGACTGGAATCACAAAATGTTATCCAGCTTTTATTAAAAGGAACCACATTATTTTCAAAAGTCTGTGGAAAACAGGAATGATAGGACATGTTAGACAGTGATACTCTGGTTTTCATTTCATATTTGAGATAGATAGATTCTGCCTGCTTTCAATGTACAGAAATTTTTAAGGTTTCTTTCTTTGCCATCTTCTTTCATAACGTGTTATGTTCTCCCCACTTAATTTTGCTTTGGAACATAATCCATCCAATTAAAATTCTAAAACAAGCAAACATAAAATAGTCTGACAAATGTAAGATTCTTAAATTTTGCTTCAGCTGCTGGCATTCCCTTACACAATGAAGATAAAATTTAACCTTTAGTTGCAGGAAAGGGATGGAAAGAATGAGTTTGAAAAATTTTGAAATCAGAACTAAATGGTGGAAACATCATCAAAGCAATCAATACCTGGGCAGTCCCCATTATACAATATACAGCAGGAATAGTTGACTGGACACAGATGGAACTTGATAGCTTGGATGGAAAACAAGGAAACTAATGACAATATGCCATACTCTACATCCAAAAAGTGATATTGATCAGCTGAATTTGCCAAGAGCCGAAATGGGCAGAGGACTCCTACAGGTGAAACAAAGTATGGAGAAAGAAAAACATGGCTTGAATGACTATATTCAAAGAACTCTTATTGAAGTCAGTCAAGGAAAGCTTTTGAAAACAATAAAGATGAAGGCTTGGTATAGAAAATAAACAAAAACTGATTTGTTAATTGGAAAAACAAGCCAATGCATGGTCAATACTTGAAGGATATAGAAAGAAAAGCCAATAAAAATGCCACGTGGAGTTGGTTAACTTTAGGAGTGTTAAAGAAAGAAACTGAAGGCTTTATTTTAGCTGCTCAAGGACAAGCTTTGCCTACTAATGGCATGAAAGTGAAAATTCAACATGTAACAAACAACAGTAAATGTCACCTTGCTAGGATTCAGGAAAAACAATTGTAAAAAATTATGAAATACTGGGACCTGCAGGTAGAAGTTGAATGCTCATGGAAAAAGAAATCTGCTGTTATGCCAATTGTGATTGGAGCCCTTGGAGCAATACCTAAAGGACTCCTTCAATATTTGGAAATTTTGAATTTAATGGATGCCCTAATTTTACCAAAAGAACAAAAACAAAAACAAAAAAATCCTGCTTGGAACTACCTATATCCTCAGATGCTACCTTAATAATTCTTAGGTCCTTGGTTAGGACTTGAATTATTAAGTTGCCACCAGTCTTTGATGCGAATCTAATTGTAGATTACCCAGTACAGGCAGTCCCCAGGTTAAGAACGAGATCTGTTTCTAAGTCTGTCTTTAACTCGAATTTGTATGTAAGTTGGAACTCGTACTTACAAAAGGGCTGCATATTATTAAAAATGGCAGATGGTGTTCTCTTTCCTTGAGCCGATGAACCACTGAAGCCGAGCAATGTTTTCATGAACTACTGAAAACAGGCTTTATATTAAAAATGTGTGACTTCAGCGGTTCATGAAAACATTGTGCGCTGTCCTCCATTTTTAGTAATAGGCAACCCATTCGTAAGATGATGATGATGATGATGATGATGATGATGATGATGATGATGATGATGATAGAAAGGGGGTCAGATTGAAAGTCTTATTTAGACATTCATTTGATTGCTTAAAGTTGGCGTTTTAATAAGTGTCAGAGAGGAATCACCATTACCTTGCCTCTATGCAAGGCCCAGTGGGCAATTGCAGTAACACAAAGTTTGAGAATCCCCATGATGTATAGATTAAAATTCCATTATTAAAAGTGAATAGTATATTTATTTCTTGCTTACCCCCAACCCAAATGAAATAATTAGCTTGATGGGGGGAAGTGTCCCAGAAATTCATTTATCATTTTAGAGGATCATAGTACCATAAAGTTTGAGAACCCCTGGTGTAAGGGCTGCAAACATATAAAGAGCTGGGAATGTATCCTGACTTCATGCCTTTCTGTATGATCTGAGACCTTGCATACATCTCCAAATCTGCATCTGCAAATATTGATCCCTATTACAACATACGTTACTTAGACACAATTCATTAAAAGCTTTCAGAAATAACTGGTAATATAAATAGTTTCTCTTCCTGCTGACCAGTCTCCAAGTTATTCCATTTCTTTAATTAGCGCATTATGAACTTTCAAATCATTTTGAGAAAAGAAGATCACAATAACAAAAGAAATTCATGTATTTAATACATATGTAGGCAATAGGGATATCTAGACTTTTGAAGGATTCTGCAAATGGACTGATTTACAAGGAAAAAACTGTTTTGTTTTCTTTTTCAAGTATGGGTGGTGGTGGTAGGGGAACAGCATAGAAGTCTTAATCATAGCTCAAATACAGGCTGAAGGCTGCATCATGGGGATAATATGAATTTTAGAGCTGCTTTAAGAATGAAGATTTTTAAAAGTAGCAAAGAAAGATTCAGGTAGAATTTTCTGTACATTCATGCATTATATTGAGAAAGAGTTGAGTCTGATTTTAGGAAAAAAAAATGACTTAGCTCTTGCTTCAAGCAGAACAATTTATTTGATTTATGTGTTGGCCATTTCCTTTGAAAGAGGAGATGGTAGAAAAAAAGTGGGATAATGTAATGGTAGTGTGATCTTCAAAACTTTCTTTTTCATTGTCTCTTTAGTAGGAAAGCAGAATATTTGGAAATCTGGTAGATTGTCATTTTTCTTCCTAATTCTGGGCTTTTATATTGGCGCCCCCCAATACCACTACTTCTATTAAGCCTTGGAATACATTGTTTTGGGCAAAGGACTTTACATAATAGTTATTCTTATGTTCTACAAGCTTTTAAAATATTTTTAACATCTTAAGTATAATAAGTTAAAAAAATTGTTCTGAATATAACTGCAGCCATGTACAGCCAACTATGACTACAAATGAGTTAATAGAATTGGTTATTTCATCTTTATCTCATTGTAAAGCTCAGCTCAGACTGAAAACTCTTTAAGCTTATAGTTACTCTTTGGAGAGGAAAAGGCATTTATAGTCAGTGCTGGAATATTAATGTCAAATGAAATTATGAAAGTCTTCATTGTTTTTGTTAAGAGTATAGACCTAAATGCCATGACAATTTGTTTTCTTGTCTTCAAGCCCAATGAAATACTCCCTCTTCCAATATGTCAAGTACTTTCAGTAGCTCTGCATGCACTCCCTTAGAACAGCAAGGCTGGCCATCCTTTCATTCCCATGTCCAGGTCAAATTATCCTACATTTTACAAGATCACCCAATAGTGCTAAGTTTGGCAATCTCATTCTGAGCTCTTGCAAGATCTTACCTTCTTGTGACCACTCATGATAGATGCCAGTGTAGCCCTGAGAGTGCTGAAATCTTATGAGAATTCATGTGAGACCACCAAAATCTCAAAAGACAGTGGGCAAAAGAAATAATTTGAAGAGTTATTGTGCCTTTTGGAGGCCAGCAGAAGTTTGATGCATAAGAATGCCATGTGGCTAACTCTTCATCTAGAATGAACACAGAGCTACAGTCTCTTTCTCAAAAAGTTTATCAAGAGTGGCCCATAGCATGCTGCCATCTTGAGGACATTTTATGTGGTTGAGAATATCAGGATCCAGCTAATGTGATGTAAGTTCACCATTACAGTCAGTTAGTAGGTGTTTCCTGTGCCTGTCCTGTTTTTTTTTTTCCCCCCTTTTCCCCCACTCACAGAGTGAAGAGATTGTTAATCTTCCTGAGTTGCTTTTCTCTGCAGTGCAGTGGGGCCCTAAAAGTGCTAACTGCAAGTTAACAAGCTAAGCTCTGTGACCTTAATTAGTTGCTGGCAGCTGTTGCCTGAAATTGACAGGACACTAATCAATTTCACACTAAAAGCTTTTGCTTGCTTCCTAAGCAGCTTGTAGTGAGTGTGCTAGGTAAACAGCTGGCGCTACTGCATTCCTTTCAATGCATTCCCTATTGTGTGCCTGCTTACTCTCTTTAATCCCTTCCTCTCCAATTAATGTAAATAAAAAAATTGTTTTCTTGCTAAGTATCCCAGCTTCAGGGTAAGCATTCTAAAGGGCAAGAGAGTGGGGAAAATGGGCTATAAGATTTGCCCTCTTACCTGGCTTCCTTATGAGTTGAGTTCTGTAAATCTTCCTCGCCATTTGGGCTCAGGTGACAGTTTGAGATCATATCCTTCTGATGCTGTAAAGCAAAGGAAAGCTGAAGAAAGATTGTAAATGGTCACATGATTTTTCTCTTAGTGACTATTTTGCTTAACCACCAAGTTGCTGGTCCCAATTGTGGTCGCTAAATGAGGACTATATGTATATGTTCAAGCAGAGTTCTAGTGTTGACATTTGAACTTTTTCCTGATATGTACATCTTAACAAGCAATTTCCCATGATTCTTCGTCATTTTCACCAGTATACAGATTTTTCTATAAGTGTTTCGTCCTAATAGAATTCATATTGTGTATTTTTGCATATGTGCATCTTCCTAACATAATTCATAGTTCATGACATTTTTTTAAAAAGATCGTTTTCTGTTCATGCTGCTCAAATTTATATTTAGGTTCACTGTGATTGACTCTGCTGTGACTATGGTACTTGTTTAGCCAAAAACAAAATATTTGGCAAACCTTATTTTGATTCATTTTAAAATAATAAATAATAATGATTGGATAAAATCTAACATGATTTTCAGATATGCTAAAACCTTAATTGAGGAGCCTTGTTAGCTGTTTGAGGGAAGGACTTTTGGTACTTAAGATTAGAGTTAAATCCACTGGTTAATCAACACCAAAGTAGTTTAGCATTAGTAAGGAGTTCAAAATGCATTTTGCAAAATGCAACAAACTAAACTGAATAACAAAATGATAGGCATTTTGATGAGAAAACCCATTTAAAGGCTACATTATGCCATTAAGCCTAGAACTTGTTCCCTTTCCCTCCTACCCCCCAAAAAGTGAGCACACTATTTCCATCAAGCCTTATATGTTTTGCAACAACACAGTGATAGTTCTCAAGAGAAAAAAAGTCTTATTTGTCCTCTATTAATAACACTAGCAGAATACTGATCTCTGCATACTGATACTTGGTTAGAATGGTATTCACTGAACTTGGGAAGTTGTCATAAAGTTGTAGATTTGTGCCAGCTACATCAAATAATGACCAACAGGGGCTCAAATAAAGAATAAACATTTAGCTTATCTAACTTTTACATGCCTGAGGAACTGATCTGAAAAATAACATAAGATCAGTAATACACTAGAGGGCACCAGAATCTCAAGTTCCGAGTCCCCCACCCTCCCATCCCACCAACTTTGGGAAATTTCATTCCTGAAAAACATTTCCTTTCTGTCTTTATTTAAATATGGTGGGGGTGGGAGAGAAAGAGAGAACACCCTGGCAATAAAATTAGGCCTAACTCAAGCACAATTAAGAAAAAATAGGGAATATTTGTGAATCAACTGCAACAGCCATCTATCATTTAGAAAATATACATTTAAGACAATACGAAAAGAATCAAGTCAACCCTACAGTAACATTTCCTTTAATAGGAAATTCTGCAGATAAAGCCAAATCAGACTCTTAAGTCTGTCCAGTGCAAAGGATGATTAATACCTTGATCATACTGCTTCTACACATTATGTACTATAACTAGCTGCTTGGTAATCAGAAAGAAGACTAATTCCCTGGCTCTGATGGGAATGGTTTAACATTATAGCCAAATGTACTCATTTTTTATTAGTTTTATAAACCCAACCAAAGAAGGATTTAGATTACACAGAACTCTAAATAGAAAATTAATCCCAAAACACAAACAAGCAAAACACAAACACACACACACACACACACACACACACACATCAAAACCCAGACTAAAAGCCATTCTGTACTGTAGGTTTGTCTCCTGGGCTGCTCCTGGTTGTTCCTGAAGCTGACTTAATAAATTCCAGCCAAGACTGGTGTGAGATGGGGGCGGATTTGTGCTCGGTTTGGACTCGAGCCACCACAGAGCTTGTCCTGCCCTTCCCATCAGTACAGGGAAGGCAAGCCTTAGTGTCTGGTTCCTCTGTGGGTGTGTCTCCCAGTGTCTGCTTTTTCTTTTTAGAGATTTTTCTCTCTCATTAGGGTCCATTTTTTTCTTTTGCTTTCCCAGATATTTGCACATTGAAAGTTCTCTTCCTACCTTTCCACAATCTCTCCTTTGACATCAACACCTACCTATATAAAGAACAGGGTACCTGAAAATTCATTACAAAAAATTGTATAGACCAAATGTATTTATTTATTATGACATTTATACCCTGTCTTTCTTCAACCTGCTTGCATGATAATTCCTCTTTTCTTTTTTTTTTTCTCATAACAAACTGAGCTGAGATAGGATAACTGGCTGAAAATATTCAGTGAATTCTGAGGTCAAGGGGAAACTTCAACCTGACTATCCCTAATCCAAGTCAAATGTCTTGCCATTAAAGTACACTGGTATTAGTGTAAATTGTGTAAACCGATATAGAAACATGGCCCAAAAAGTTGTAGTTGGCCAAAGAAGATAGAATGAAGCCAAAATAGACAGATTTGTTCTTCTCTTCTTGGAGCAGCTTTTCATGTTGTATAGAAACAATAAGAGTTAAGCATGATTAACAATGTGCATTCATGCTCTCTGCACAAATATAGCTGCTCTGGAGGGAATTCACACATTTCTCTGAGGGGAAGTACACAGTTCCTTTTCCGTATACAAATAATCATCTTTTCATTGGTCAAAGAACTTCACATAGATATTCTTGTTGTAGGCCTTATATTTGCAAGGTAGCAGACTAGTGCTATCCCTGTATTTCATGAGGCTGTAGGGCTGAAGTGGAGGTAGACTGGATTGCCTGAACAGAGTTCATATTACAGTGAGATATGGTCCTCTGTCATTTCATTTTGCTAGGAAAGGTACTGGAGTGGTGACATTCAACTGAAAGGAGAGACAAATGAGGAGGCAATGCTACATCTAAACAGATTTGCATTGTCCTATATATTAATATGTTAATTTTCAGGCTGCTGATTGTTATGTAGTGAATAGGAATAATATGTGTCCATGAGAAAAGTATCAGGCCCAGGTCAGTAAAAGGACACACTTTCAAAAAATCTTTGGAATTCTCCTTCAAAGGCCACTGGGAAATGCTCAGTGAATGAAGCACACCAGTTCAGCTACAAAGGGGAAAGTCAGCAGAAGAAAGGGAGAATGTTGGAACTTCTTTAAAATTGACTAACAGTTGCAGTACATTCTGTAACATTTTATTATTCCCTGTAATAAGTAAATGTCCCTAAATAAACATTTTGGCCCGTATCATCATTCAGTCATGGGTACTTTCTCTGTCTATCATCTCTACATAGTTGGCCTCCTCTATGTATCGGTCCACTAACCCACTGAATATTTGGGCAAGAAGGCAGCACTGCTGGCCATAGATGAAAGAAGCTTCCTTGTGCTTCATTATAGCAAGGTAATATTATCCCAGCTGGCTTGAATGGATGCTCACATGTGACTAGGGCTGGTCCTATTATTAGGCAAAAGGAGATATCTGACTCAGGCATTAGATGATAGAAGGCAAGAAATAAAGATTAGAAAATAGATATATGTCTGTGCCTATCTGTAAACTTCCTAAAATACATTGTCCCATCATTTATGCTTAAAATATATTCTACTGTCTCTCTGGTTGGCTTCTGTACATAGGAGGGTATTAGATTGTTCTTTAGGCTGGATCTTGTCCTTTGTCCTTAGTGTGACATTTATTGAGGAAATAAATAGAAGTTAATAAAGACAGTGAAGCCAAGGCATGGAGAAAGTGACAAAATACAAAATCTGCATCAATTCTCATTTGGCCAATTTAATTTTGGAATGGTTGCAAGTCAATATTAATGGTAAACAGAAACTGTTGGAATGATGAGTGCAGTTCAGAGAAATCAACATTTGCAATCTTCATGTTCAGCCACATAAATGATTTACAGGGGGAAAATAAACAGTATTAAATTTGCAAATGATAATATATTGGAAAATGCAGAGAAACAGTAGTGTGAGTAGATAAATAATAAAATAGTGTATCAAGGGATGGGACACAACAGAGAAGATGCATTTTTGAACTAGAAAAACACATACATTTTGTTTGATGGGAGAAAAATCACAATACAGATTCTCAGCTGGAGAAAAAAGTATTTGGAAAGCAGCATTGGAAAGAATATGGAATTAATAACTGTCACCAGTAAGTATTTTCATTGTGATATTATAATATCACAAATATTGTGGTACTGAAAAATCAGCTAAGAGAACAACAAAAGCTACAGCGGTGAGCCCATCAATGTTTTTCACAGGGACAATGCAGCTGAACCTTAGTTGTATGGATAATCCCAAAACTGGGGGACTCGGGCGGGGGGTGTCCTTACTTTATCAGAAAACCAACTCATTTAACTCTGGAACTGGTTTTGCGAATGGTGACTCTATAGCCTACAAAAGTGTTGTCCAAACTTGGCCACTTTAAGATGAGTGGACTTCAAGTCCCAGAATTCCCCAGCCCCCCCCCCC